TTGTCACAAATTTTTCATTGCGAGACCCTGAGTCGTTCGTCGTTTTTCGACATTAGTTGAGGTTAGGACAGGATAGAATTTCTGCTAGAAAAAGGCTAGAACTATGAGTATATGAAAAAACTAAGTGAAACTCGACCGAATTCACCTCGAATTACACTAAATCAAAGAACTGAATGATACACGATGCAAAAACAAACAACTGTCGAGATGGATTGTGGGAAATTTTTTGAGCGGGCGTTTTAAATTCTCTGTATTACTGGGAGTGGCAAAGCTAATAAATATCCAGATTATCCCAAAGAGACCAAGTTGCCTTGACGTAATATATATCTATCTGTATGGTTTATTGCATTTTATGTAATATAAAAAGTAGTAAATTATTTATTTTTCCTAAATATCTAGACCATATTGTTAGGATATTTTATTGTCATGAGCACGTTTGGATATCTCAGCTGGATGTACATTAGATATACGACAGACATATCCATAGGATATTCTATTCTGAGACATCTACAGGATTTCAGGATGTCTAGAGGATATCCTATAGATATCTTTATAGGATGATCCTGTAGTAGGACATTCCGACATTCTATGGATATCCTGCGGATAGTTGTATGTTATATGGGAAAGTATCATTTAATCTACCCTTGCGTAAAAGCACTATTTTATCTACTATTTTTGATGGATATATGACAATTTTAACAGTTGCTATGAAAAAAAAGTACCTAAATTAACTGTTACAAACTATGTTTATTTTTGAACCAACCCGATCACTTATCCCGAATCCGATTCAATTTAAAGAAACTTGGGTTAAAGTACTATTTTATCTACTATTTTTGATAGATATATGACAATTTTAACAGTTGCTATGAAAAAAAAGTACCTAAATTAACTGTTACAAACTATGTTTATTTTTGAACCAACCCGATCACTTATCCCGAATCCGATTCAATTTAAAGAAACTTTGGCGAAATTTAAAAATAAATAATGAACCTTTCCTGCGATTGCCTGCTTGGTCCGCGCCGGCCCCCGTTTCCCCTAGGTGTCGTTTCCTGGATGATGCCTCTTCCATTAGGCGCGTTCATTACGCCAGGCTGGAAAATTCCGTCTTGAAAAATCCCGTTGTGAACGGGTACGAAGCGGGCCCGTGCATGATTTATTAGGGGAGAGTCGGGTAAAAGGGTAATTATACTAACTTTACGTGCAGGTGGTCTAGCGGGAGCCATATAAAACCAGATTTTGTTTAGATATACGTTTTTTATTAACATATTCCTAAAAAAACTACATTTTTCCGCTTAATTTTTCCACAGGGCGTTAAATTTTATAACAAAATTAGTTTGTTTCTTGCTTAGTAAAAAAATGACTGTGTTATCAACAACGTCACAGAAATTAAAAGTTTTGTGGCGTTTGAAAAATAGTATATTGTTTTATTAGAAGTAAAAATGACACTTTTCACGAGGCTGTACGTTTGACAGGCGAGGCACAAAAAGTTCGCATAATTATAGTTTCGGAGATACAGAGTGTAGAAGTTTCATATTTATTTCGGTTTTTCCAAATAATTTCTAAGTAACGTCAATATTTGTATGAAAATTGGTGTCTGGGATTTTTTTGACATGAGAAATTTGATTTAGATGTCAATATGACTCCTACTTGTAGGGGGCACCATTTATATGTGTTTTAACTGTTTTGAAGAGTAATAACTTTTCTCGTCCGTACCTGTATAAAACCACTGGGTGAAAAAATATTGCTAAAAATCGCTACGAGCAACTGTTCTCAAGATATTTAGAATGGAAATAGTCAACACATGTCATTATTGACAAAAAATAAACACGTTGATTAGATAGTTATTTGACTGAAATGATAAATTTGGGAACATTTTATTTTTTTAAATTAATCATAAATTTTTCTTCGAAAAAATGATGATAAAACAGTTTCTGTTGAGCTCTTGGCACAAAAACATTTCAAATTTATGATTCCAGTCTAATAACTATTTAGTCAACATGTTTAATTTATGTCAATAATGACAGGTATTAATGATTTCGATTCCGAATATCTCCAGAACTCATTACTCGTAGCGATTTTTACCAAGAGACAATTTTTTACGTAAAAAACGTCGTAAATGTATTTTTTTACTCAGTAGTTTTATACAGGTACGGACGAAAAGTTATTGCTCTTCAAACCACTTAAAAAATATGTAGGTGGTGCCCTCTACAAGTAGGAGTCATATAGACATCAAAATCAAATTTCTCATGTCAAAAAACTCTCAGACACCAATTTTCATTCAAATATTGACGTTACATCAGAAATTATTTTGAAAAAATCGAAATAAAAATGAAACACCTACTTCTACACCCTAAAAGCAGCGTTTGAAAAAAAAAAAGAATTTTTACAAATGAAATATTAACTAATTTCAACTGTAATATTACTTAAATTTATTCAATAATCGTTCAAAAACATGTTTTTCCACTAAAGAAAGGAGTTGAACAGGGAGTTTACGAGTAAAGTTCTCCAACTAATCCTCCAACTGACCCACAAAAGTTCCCTGATTTGGAGAAATTCCAAATGAAAGATAGGAGGCAATATTGATCACCTCCATATTATTACTGGGCGTGTTATTATTAAGTTCCAGATAGGTATTAAAAGTCCATTTCACTAGTAGAGAAAGTAGCAAAATAGACGTTCGGCATTTAACGTTTTATGTAAAACTGTCTAGGTATTTTTACACAAATGAAGAAGGAAATTAAATATAAAGCATTAAACTATATCCGCCTTGTAGCACATTTTAAGACAACTTCTTTATTTTTAAGATTTTGATGGTCAAACTGCTGGTGGAATGTGGTGGATGCTGGTGGAATACTAGTTAGGAATAATAGTTTCATCGGCATACCACTGAACAATTTGCGCTACGCGGACGATACAGTCCTTCTCGATGAAAACATGCAAGACCTTCAGAATAAGTTAAATAACGCCATCACAACTAGTCGAGAATATCGTCTGACACTCCATGTTAAGAAGACCAAATACATGATTGTCACTAAAACTGGAGTTCCCAATGAACATCTGTACGCGGAAGGTGAGGAGTTCGAAAGAGTAGAGAGGTATGACTACCTGGGTACAAGTGTCGAGACTGCACCGCGGATTATTGTTCAGAAATAAAGATTCGCATTGAAAAGGCCCGTGCATCCTTTGTAAAGATTAAGAAGCTGCTCTGTAGCTTCTTAATTAGCTAAATGTTATGTATTCCCAGTCCTTTTGTATGGTATGGAAGCTTGGACCCTCAACGAGCTTTGCGAGCGAAAACTGGAGGCCTTCGAGATGTGGGCATACCGTAGGATGTTGAGAATACCATGGACAGATACTCCTACCAAAGCAGGGACAGGGATAGGAGTATTTGGGCCGAAAACTGAATACTCCGAACCAATGGGCACCTACCCCAGTATCCTTCAGGCAGAAATTTGCGCTATCGAAAGATGCGTACAATTTATCTTAGATAGGAACTATCGAAAACAGGAAATTGCCATCCTATCCGATAGTCAAGCAGCACTTAACGCGATCAACTCAGTAACCATCAATTCGAAGTTGGTCAAAGAATGCCTAGAGAAGCTCAACAAATTAGGCAAAGAAAATAAAGTCCTCCTACTCTGGGTGCCTGCTCACCAAGGGATAGAAGGCAATGAAAAAGCAAATGATCTAGCTAGAAAAGGAGCGAACACTCCACTAACTGGACCAGAACCGTTCTGTTTTCCAAACGGGAACCAACTGAAAGCGGAACTGAAGAATCTGGAAGACTCCATCCGCAACTTGGAATGGGTGTCCTCCAACGATCTAAGACACTCGAAAAAGTTCCTTAGAACTTATGACCGAGAAAAATCAAAGCTTTTCCTTGATTTAAGTAAAAACAATCTTCGGATTGTCACGGGGTTTCTAACAGGACACTGTCTCCTCAACGAACACCTCAGTAGGCTGAAACTGAGAACCAGAACACCTTATCACTGAGTGTGCCGAGACGACGACCATTCGTGCCATGAACCTTGGTACGTCTAATGTCGTGGATGGAGAGCTGGCCTCTGTGGAGCCGTCTCAGATATTGGCTTTTCCTAAAGCCCTGAGACTGTATGATGAGTTATAACTCGTTATAACTCAAGAAAGGGGAACACACAATAGATCTATAAGGTCGCGGTGATTAACTCCCCTCCTAAACATTCTACATTCTACCATGGACAGAACATGTAACCAATGTGGAGGTTCTGAGAAGAACGAGTAAGGGCGTAGAGATCCTCAAGGAAGTGAAAAAAAAGAAAATTGCAATATCTCGGCCATATCATGAGGGGTCCAAGGTATGAGATTTTGCAACTCATAATCCAGGAAAAAATTTTAGGAAAAAGATCTGTTGGAAGGAGAAGAATATCCTAGCTCAGAAACCTGCGAAAATGGTTTAATGTCACGTCATCTGACCTATTAAGGGCCGCAGGTCTTCCAAGGTCAAAATAGCAATGATGATAGCCAACCTCCGATATGGAGACGGTACATAAAGAAGAAAAGAAGATGGCCAAACATCAACCAAATATTCCTTATATTTGGATTAAATTTTCTCAAAAATAAAGACATAATTTAAAATTCCCTAACAATACGGATATAGATTGAAGTTTTGTGATTACAGCGATAAATAATTTATATGGTTTTGTAACAAATTGCTCGCTATTTTATGGCAAATGCTGAAGCTCTGCAAACCTTAATCAAGCCTTAATCAAAGCACGTGTGTTTGGGATTTTGGGTGTGGCTTAACACGATAGGGTCAGGCTAAACCTTAGGCAGATTTCTAAAATACGACCGCTGAGAGCGACCCGAAAGTACAGCGTAGATTAAAATGCGTAATAAAATTTTGTTAAACATCTGAAGATTTGTTTTTGAAGATGCCGAAGAGACTTCCCGATTGCAATTCTGACCACCTTGTATGCTGCTATATTTCTACATAGTGTGCAAAATAAATTAAATCTACTAACCTGGGGTAATGAAAGGGTAACAAGAATGCGGCTCCAAGTGGTGGTGGCATTGGTTGAGCTCGTGGTCTGGCAAAGGGGGCGGATATTCCTCCTCAGGAGATCGCTCAGAACCATAACCCTGATCCTGACACAGAGCTGTCTGAGCATCGGAGAATTTCCAGTGCAGGGGGGCTCCATCTCCCAAAGGTGGGATCCTCTCGACCTGAAATACATAGAAATAAAAAATAGAATACCGGTTGCGTCTCAAAAGTGGCTCACCTCTATAAATTTTTTATTTTTTCAGATAAAAAAACGAGATTTATGTTAGTATAGATATAAATTAAGATTGTTTGACGTATTCATTTTTTTTTGTCACTTCCTGTTTGTTCACCGGGAATATCTACAACTTTTGTTTTTTGAATGGCACCATCGGTATTTTTTTAATTTATTCGATAGAAAACGACACTCTGAATAGAATGACATATCATATGTCAACTTTTGACATTTTCTCATATGGTTAATTTGAATTGTTCATAACGACAATTTGACTCGAAATACCAAGTGTGGTACCAAATTATTCGGAAAAAATACTTTTTCCAAATATGCTAATGAACCACCCTCGTTCCATTTGAAAAAATTGAGATATGATTAAAAACAACAAATGGGGCATCTATTAAACATTAGACGATTGAATCTATTTTTCCAAGGCTCCTTGATTAAAAATTAGCGTTTTTAACAGAGCCATGGCTCTCCAGATTGAAATTTAAAATACGAGTTTTTTTGTTGTGTGTTGAAAGTTTGTCATTTTCTATCGAATAAAGTAAAAAAAATACCGAGAATGTCATTTAAAAATCAAAATTTGTGTTCATTTCCGGTGAAACAAGAAGCGACCGACAATAAATGAATACGTTAATCAATCCTAATTTATGTCATTAACAACATACCAAATCTCGTTTTTTTTATCTGAAGAAATAAAAAAGTTATAGGGGTGAGCCACTTTTGAGACGTTCACCTGATATATCTTTTCTATTAATAAATATTCGCAATATTAATCACCCTATATATTATTTTCTACAGAGGGTACAAAATAAATCACGCAGTATGTATTATTTTTTTATAAAAGTATATTAAAAAAAAATAATTTAATGATTTAAATCACGTCGCTACTGTTGTCGTGATGTATAAGCGGTTATAGTAGACAATCTTAAAGAAATTAACCTTCAGTTAGTATTAACTGCACTTTTTTTTCTAACTGTATTTTGTCTTGTGATCATATACCGTGCAAATTGTAATAACACGTTGAAAGAATCTTTTTCATTTTCACGCTAGTAATAAGAATAATCATATCAATAAAGAATTCTCTATTTTCTGTTTTTGTTTAAACCCTAGATCATACACCGGGTGTTGCATCGTCGGACGGGACATAGGAAATCCCATGTAAATTTTAATGGGGTCAATTATTGACTTCCCCAATTATTTTAGAGAATAATTCTATTTAGGTTTATTGAAGAGCACTAAAACCCACATTCAAAAGAATAACTTTAGATATTTTTGATTAGCTCGTTTACGAGTTATCGCCGATTTCTTTTTAAATATTTCTCCTTTCTTATGGCCCTCTATTTACTTATGAGCACCAGTCAAGGTAAAAGATAACTGTCAAATGAAGTTGTCATTTCAGAAATTTATCTATTTAGTGCTTTATTATTATTGTTAAAAACTCATACCTACATCGAAAATATTAGCCATGAGTTACACTACCGAAGAAAAAGTACTGATGATTAAATGGTATTATCAAGGAAATAGGTATCAAAAGGTGTCGGACATGTTTGTTGCTCTGTATTCGAATAGACCGATACCTGGAAAATCTACAATCCCAAGGAATATCCACAGATTTGAGCCCAAAGGTACCCTAATAAATAACTGCAGATGTGAAGCAAAGCAAGAATAAAGAGAAGATGCAAGAAATGATACCGACTTGGAAGTTTTATTGTGCGTGGAAGAGAACGATGGAAAGATCAGCACAAGGAAACTTGAGGATGAAATAGGAATAGATCACACTACAGCGTTTCGAATTTTGAAACGACATAAATACTATTCCTTCAAATATGAAAAAGCACCAAGAGCTACGAGATGGGGACGAAATACGGCGGCAGGCGTTTTGTTTTGATATGCTGGAAAGAGCAAACACGGATAGGGAATTTTTAAAAAACATATGTTTCACTGACGAATGCACGTTTACCTTAAATAATGAACCCAATTTTCAAAATTATCGATATTGGAACAAAGAAAACCAACACAGGTTTGTCGAAACAAGGACGCAATATCCACAGAAAGTAAATGTTTGGGCAGGGATATTCGGACACAATATTATCGGGCCATTATTTCTTACGCGAAATTTAAATGCAGCATATTATTTGGAACTACTCGAAAATCATATTTTACCTGCTTTACATGATGCCGCTAGGGAAAATCAGGAAGTTTGGTACCAAATTAATGGCTGCCCGGCTCATAGTACCCTGGCTGTTCGGGAATATTTAGACAATAATTTTAACGGAAACGTTATTGGCCTAAATCATACAGTAAATTGGCCAGCAAGGTCTCCTGATATTTCGCCAAAGGATTTCTTTCTCTGGGGCCATTTAAAAAACAGGATATACAAGGATAAAAAAATACCCAAATCTAGACGAGTTAAAAAATGCTATTTCTGCCGAATGCAATAGAATTTCAGTTTATCAACTAGCGAATGTAAGAAGATAATTTTATGATCGCCTGGGTTATTGTCTAGCAGTCGATGGAGGAATATTTGAACATCTTCTTAAATCCTAAAGTTCTAACAATTTAATAGTACCTAAATTAATAAGTTATTGAATATTGTAATAATACTATAATTAACCTTGTAATTGATTACTCTATTTTACTTTAATTCATATTAATTTGTATTTATAAATACATCTTTAAGATTTCCGATGTAGGAATGAGTTTTCAATAATAATAAAGCACTAAATAGGTAAATTTCTGAAATGAGAACTTCATTTGACAGTTATCTTTTACCTTGACTGGTGCTCATAAGTAAATACAGGGCCATAAGAAATGGGAAATATTTTTTAGAAATATTTTTAGTTTTAGTGCTCTTCAATAAACCTGAATAGCATTATTCTCTAAAATAATTAGGGAAGTCAATAATTGACCCCATTAAAATTTACATGGGATTTCCTATGTCCCGTCCGACGATGCAACACCTGGTATATGATCTAGGGTTTAAACAGATACTATGTAAACATTCTGGCAATACAGCCAGGGGTGTTTAACTTAGATTTGTTAGAAAAAAATCTTATCCATTGCTATTTCTTTTAACCTCGAAGCATCTGATATTAATAGTAGCAAACTTCTACACTCCGAACCAAGATATATTTAAGAAACTACTCGAGATTTTCCCTCTGTAATGAAAAACGTAACTTTTCCAAGAGGTCTTCGAAAGATTTTCTTCTTGGTTAAACTTTTCCCGCTTCGAGATTTAATAGAAACTGACCGAAGTCGACGAAAATAATTATGAAAACCTTTGGGAAAACTCGTATTTGCCGCGGAAAAATCAAGAGAGCGACACGACGCTCGGCCAGCTTAAATTCAATCAGAGATTTCCCGAAAAAAGGTCAAAAAGGAGTTTTCGGATCGTCGACTTTATGGTAATTACGAGAAAAAATCTGGGAAAGCGTAAAAAAAGATCAAGGAAATTTGGCTAATTCAATGTTTAGCAAGAGTGTTTCTTGGGTGTATTAAATATCTCTAATTTAATTGCCTATCAAATTGTATTATACCATTTTTTACCTATCCCTTCAAGTTTTTGTAGAAAATACATTTTCTTATAATTGTATATTTTGTATATTTTAAGAGAATCAAATGTACAATTTAATTGTCAATCAAATTGTAATATACCATTTTTTACCTATCTCTTCGAGATTTGGTAGAAAATACATTTTCTTATAATTTACACCTCATTTATCAATATACCCATGGAATATTGCCATTTTAGATTGTTTTTACAACAACAAATGTACAAAATGTACAGGTGCTGAAAACGATAATATTACTAGGTAGCCCATTAGTATACAAAAAGAAAACTATTTAAATCTTTATAAAAGAGTATACCATTAATTAAATATACCACCATTATTTCCGCCCAAATATTAATTACATACTTAAGTGTGTTGGTTAATAAATTATTCTAAATAAATGTGGATTTGAATCAGAAATCAATATAATAATAAGTTATGAAAATGAACGTCTTTGTTGTTATAAATATGCATTCGTCAAAAAATTAAATAAAATTATTAAGGTGTTACTCTTTACGACACTGTCTAATATACATACAAAATTCATTTTTTTAGTATTTGGAATTATATTAATTGGTCCTCTTTAACAATCGTTTAAACAGTTTTTTTTTTATTTTTTAATGAAATAAACGAACTATATCGACAATATTAGTATCTGTATTCTTTAAAAATTTGTTACAATTTTAAAAATAATTTAAAATGTCAATATTCCATGGGTATATCGATAAATAATGTCTAAATTATAAAAACATGAATTTTCTACGAAAACTTGAAGAGATAGGTAAATAATGGTATAATACAATTTGATAGACAATTAAATTGTGCATCTGATTCTCATAAAATATACGGGGTGTTCCATTTAAATTAAACAAGTTATTGCCGTTTAAAGCTAGTAATTACTTAAAATAAATTTTGAGACACTAAGGGTAGTATAATTTTTATTATTCCAACACAAAATTATTTAGTAAATAGAAATACTTCAGTACAATATTTGGTTTGAAAAACTTAAATACGCTTAGAAAAATGAAGTATTAAAATTATTATTGTATTTTGACAAAAACCTAAATATTTCAAAAACGGTAAGATTAAAATGCGGCAAACCTTAATCAAATTTACCTTTATTTTAATCGTAGAAACTAAAAATGTGATAATATACAGGGTGTCCCATTTAAAAAAAATAAAACTTTGATATTTTTTATTTGTTTTGGACACTCTGTATCTTGTAAAAATATTTTTAAATTGTAGTTCTACGTTTTGAACAACACTGTAGTATGTCGTTGGGTAGGATAACTCTACTGGGCGAAGTCCCTAGCCTATATGGCTACCCTTTACTTAACTCTCAAATAAAAATACAGAGCTTGAATAATATATTCTGTATTCATTCGTAGAACACTGTACAAGATAAGTACATATATCAAAGACACTCGAATTACAAATGGGGTACTTGGAAATGTTTTTATTTTATCTCGATACTCCTATTACTGTGGGAACTCGAGCTTATCGAAGATTTTAAGCCACTTAGCTGGCGTATTTCGAACCCTCTTACACTTGTTCTTTTTAACCATATCCAGTTACACGATGTTTTAACAGGAATACAAGGCATAACATAATTTTTATTTTATTTTTGTATTGTGTAATATGTATAAAGATTACACATTGACTTATTCTAAGAAAAAAAATCATAATAATTCTGATGTTATAGATATTTTTATTAATTTAGATACACAATTGTAAATATTGACATTAAGGAACAGTTGTATTTCATAGAGCAGTAATTTTTCTTACCTCGTCCAGTGAAGATTTCTCTGCATCATCCCCGTAATTGTTGTTGCAAGAGGACGATTCCCTATCGTCCAAATAACTGGGCAAACTACCTCCGCTACCTTTTCCGCTACCGTCACCCTGGTGTCTGCCCTTTCCGTTACAAATACTACCACTTGATTGTGATCTTCGACCTGAAAAATTAAAGAAAAATGGTCAATGAAAGACATAAGATTGATAGCGAAGCTGTATTAGGGACAGACCGCTCCTCTTCAATATACAGGGTGGTCCGAACTGTATTCTGAAAACTTCGGAAGCATATTCTGCTAGTAAAAAGTTCGTATAAATGTATGTCCTAAAATGCTTAGTTTCGAAGATACAGGGTGTATAAATTTAATTTTTATTTCGATTTTTTCCAAATAATTTCTGCAGTAACGTCAATATTTGGATGAAAATTGGTATCTGGGAGCTTTTTCACATGAGAAATTTGATTTTGATGCTAATATGACTCCTACTTGTAGATGGCGCCACCTACATATTTTTTAACTGGTTTGAAGAGTAATAACTTTTCGTCCGTACCTGTATAAAACTACTGAGTAAAAAATATACATTTACGACATTTTTTACGTAAAAAAAAGTTACTAGTAATAGTTCTCGAGATATTTGGAATCGAAATTATCAATACCTATCAACATTAACATAAATTAAACATGTTGACTAAATAGTTTAGCAATTTTTACCAAGAGACATTTTTTACGTAAAAAGTCACGGAAATGTATATTTTTTTACTCAGTAGTTTTATACAGGTACGGGCGAAAAGTAATTAATCTTCAATACAGTTAAAACACATGTAGGTGGCGTCCTTTACAAATAGGAGTCATATTGATATCAAAATCAAATTTCTCAGGTCAAAAAACTCCTAAACACCAATTTTCATCCAAATATTGGCGTTACTTCAGAAATTAATAGGAAAAAATCGAAATAAAAATCAAACTTCTACACCCTGTATCTCCGAAACTAAGCATTTTAGGATATACATTTTTTGGAACTTTTTTACTTATATTTATCTGTAGAATATGCTGCCGAAGTTTCCGGAAACACAGTTCGGACCACTCTGTATATACAGGGTGTCCCAGAAATAAGTGGATAAGTGAATAAGTATTTTAAGGGATAATAGATCTCGATAAAAGAAACATTTTTTCTCTTTACCGTTTTCAAATAAGTCCAAAATAACGGAGTTATTTTACTTTGAAAATTTCCAAAAAAAAATATTTTTTACTAAAATTTTGAGAACTGGATCTTTTCTGGATTTTCTCTCTTGTAAATTTAATCTACTACATATTATGTTGCCATATTATTAAGAAATTATGTTTGTTGACTAAAAATTAAAAAAAAATCCAAAAATTCCTAATTTTCAAAAAAAAAATTCGCGAAAAAAGGTGTGTTTCTGGGGTTGAACTATACTACCAGTTAAAATACTGGCACTTATTTTTGGGATACCCTGTATAGTGAGACCATTTTTCGAAAATCTTTGGAAAAGAGAGATGAGGGAATCAAAGTGAATGGTCAACGAATCAACAATATCAGATACGCTGACGTTGCAGTAGTTATGAAAGAATTGTAAAGATCTGCAGAACCTACTTCAAAGAGTAAATGTATCCTGCAAACAATAAGGGCTTAATATGCATTTGAAGAAAACAAAATTCATGATTATTACGAAAATGTAAATACTTCAGTATCAATAGACAGCACGCCGTGCGCCAATAGAAAAAGTCCAAAACCAGAAATATTTGGGCACAATAATAAATGAAACTGCCGAACAATTGCAAGAAATAAAGTCCAGTGGCCGTATTCTCGTTTCTCAAAACGCTGTGCGTTTTAGGTCGCTCGCCACTTTTGACGTCATATTCGCATAGCGCAATGCCGAACGGTATTCTTGTTTGATTTTGCTACACGTTTTTAAAAAACGCTCTCCACTTTGAAAACGGCTACCATAAGGTATCTGTTTTGGTAATCGAACGTCAAAAAGTGAAGTCTCATTTTTTTCTGAAGTATCTGTGTTTCAATAATAATCTAAGATAATAATGGATAATTTTGAACAAATTGCGATTAACTTAATAGAAAATATAGAAAATGCCGAAGGACAACGGCGGCAGCGGTTTTTTCCGGATAATCCTTTTGCATTATCAGATTATAACTTTGTTAAGCTATATCGGCTAAGAAAAGAAAATGTCCAGGATTTAGAAAACTTGCTAGGCCCTTTTTTGCCAGCCCAACATAAAGTAGATGCGTTAACCAATAGAAACAAGGTAAAAAACGACTAAAGATAACTTCTATAATGGACATTTTTGCCAACTTTTTGTAATGGTATTTGCAGATTTTACTTACTTTACGCTTTTTGGCCGGTGGAAGCTACCAATTAGATATAGGCAGAAATCAAATGATGAAAGTAAGCCAGTCTTCAGTAAGTAGATCACTCCATAGTGTAATTGACGCATTCAACCATCATAATATTCTGAATACTTACATTCATTTTCCTAATTCAATGGAAGAGTTGAGAGATGTTAGACAGAGGTAAGTATAGTACCTACATTAAAAAGCATTATAACACGTTTTACTCACTGACTATTATAGAGTAATTTTATGTTGAAAGTACCTTACATAAATCGATTCCTATATTTTTTAGGTTTTTTAATCTGTATCGACTACCAGGCATTATAGGGTGCATTGACTGCACCCATATCGCAATTGTAGCCCCAGTTATAAATGAACATATTTACATGAATCGAAAAGGATTTCATTCTTTGAATGTTCAGATGGTAGGTAGTAAGCGGAATAATATCATTACACTTTACTTTACCGTCCCAGTTGTATATTATGTGTGTTATTTTAAGATATGTGATGAAAAGTTACGCATCACAAACGTTAATGCACGTTTTTGTGGTAGTACCCATGATAGTTTTATATGGCAGAATTCCAACATAGAACGTTTTCTAAGTGAGCTTCCACAAAATGAAATGGGAAATTTTTATCTATTTGGTTGGTAAAATATTTTACTCTTTAGGGAAAAGTTTCTTTTCCAATAATAATTTTTAGGGGATTCTGGCTACCCGATTCGGCCTTGGTTAATAACACCATTTTTACCTGAACCTGAACCTGACACCCCAGAAGCAAGATTTAATCGTCGATTTAGAGCAATTCGGGTTACAGTTGAACGATGCTTTGGGCTTCTAAAAAATAGATTTAGATGTCTTTTGAAGCACCGTGTTCTTCATTATACACCAGAAACAGCTGCAAAAATTGTAAATACCTGCGCAGTTCTTCATAATATTTGTCTTGAAAACAATATTCCCTTATACAATGATGAAGAAATGATGGGTTTCAATGAGGTGGAAGGTGGAAACCTAAATGAGAATATTAATCATATCCCCGACAATAATGTCCTTGGACGAGGACGGGAAGTACGACAATTATTAGTAAATAATTATTTCGTTTAATAAAATATACTGAGATACAAATGTCTTTTATTCTTTCAAAAATAACACAACACAACACAAAATTTAAAACATTACAAAAACAAATTAACAATAACAATAAACAATAACAGTAAACTAACTAATAATACATTGGACATTTATTCGTAATGTTCAATAAATGTTTTATTTTTTAAAAATTCAGCACAATTTTCGACCCCAACTGCAATCCTTTCCAAAGTTTCAGATTGCTTTTCCAAAATTTGAATTTTTTTTTCATAATAATTCTTTTTTAATTCATATTTGTCCCTTGCAATTTTTATAAACTTTTGGGATGCTTCAATTGAAGCAGTATGATTAGTTTTTCTTTTAGTTTTTTCAAGAGGGACTGCAGATATAGCCCTTTTCTTGATTAGAGGAGGTCTAACTCTTGTTGATGTTTTAGGGCTATTATTAGAATGATTTTCATTAGCTTTTTCCTTATCAGCCTCATGAATTTCACCACAATCAGTATCTTCTGATTCTTCGATATAACTACCTTTGGGTAGTGAAACTGTTGCTGGTTCATTGATGGCAGATACTAAAGGTAATCCAATTTCAGGCACGTCTATGCCTGAAATTAAAACATCGCCACCTGAAAATTTATACTTAATTAAATGGGTCAACAAAATTTATGAGAAAATACCTATAATATTTAATATTTTTTGGTCCATTTCATCGGGCCCATCTTCTTCCGGGGGTCCACCGCCAGTCATATTCATTGACCGCTTTTCTTGCGCTTTCTTTTTTTTGCTCCTGCATTTCATATCACTCCAACACTAAAATAAAAAAGTTTTTTATTTTTTATTTCGCGTATGTTTTATTAAAATGCATAAATGGGAAACGGGTTGGTATACATACCTTTCTCCATTCCTTCCAGGACTTATTGCATCCAGGAATGCTATTTAACCTATCCGTGATTTCCGCCCATTTTTGATTCATATCAGCACTTGTATATTGGTTACTTATTTTTTGGGTAACCAGTTGAGGATTTTCCTCCATAAACTCTAACAATGTTTTTTTCTGAGTTTGGCTCATTTGCTTCTTTGCCATTTTTTAACAATATTAAATTATTATTATGTGATTAGAACCAAACAGCGACTTTGGCAACAAAACGTCACGAAAACTTCAAAAATAATTTTGATTGATTTTTTTAAAGATTTTTGTATTGAAAACATTACCAATTTAATTTTTTAGTTTTGTTCCATTGGCATCATTGAAAAATTGCAACGTAGTCAACAAGTGCAAAGCGGTTATTTTAAAAGTGAAGCGTTTAGCAAAAATTTTTAATAAGAATACCATAATCAAGTGCTTATCGTTTTGCTAAGCGAGTTGTTTCGCTTAGCGTTTTGAAAACGATACGTTTTCGTGTATGAAAACGAGAATACGGACCCAGGGCCCGTATTCTGTAACTTTGAAAACGCTAAGCGCTTTTAGACGCACAGCTTATATGACGTTAATTTTCGCTGAGCGCGCATTTAATTAACGATTTCGGTATTCTTGTCTGAGGCGCTTAGCGTCTTTACTGATTGCGCTCAGCGCTTTGAAAACGGTTGCCTTAAAGGATCGTTTTGCTTGTCGAACTCTCAGTGAAAATCGAAAAAATTGTGATTTTGTGCTTTATCTTGCTCTTTAGTGAAAGTTACTACTTCTTCTATAAATTCCTCAATAAGTAATTGATAATTTACGACTTGGCAGCTATAAATATTGTTCAAAACATCGAAAATGCTCAGAAGCGACTTCAACACTTCCCTCGTATAATAAGAATAATGACATATCCATAGAAAAATAGCTTGACATAACTCAACAATAGGTTATGAAATTCATGTAACATTGACATTTTTCATTGTTACATCCGTCAGTTATCAACTTTTGACTATTACCTACATTAGAAATTGTGATGTTGCCAATATGTGCTCAACGCGTATCCAGAACACGATTCGCATGGTAACGAGAATACCAAAATCGATTGCCTTGCGTTTCGCTGATCGAATACTTGCGCTCACCGCTTTGAAAGCGTAACGTTTTTATGTCAAAGTTACAGAATACGGGCCCAGGATTAGATAGCCAGAAATTCTTTTTAAAACTAAAGAAATTTCTTAGCAGTAGATATAACTCACCTGAAAGTCCTTTGTCGAGTGCCGACTGACGTTAGCGCCCATCACGCCGGCCCTCACATGGCGCCTGTCGACGTTTCGCGTGTCTACGTCGAAATTCCGCCCTTCTTCAGGATCCTTGGCACTCGAGTCGGTTTTGGAGGGCGTGGAGGTGGAGAGACGTCGTACTAGTCGCAACAGGTCGCGCTCGCTAGTTTCCTGAGTTCTTGGAGACCGTACCAAGGGTCCTGTAATAAAAAAGAAGTGCGTTGTTAAAAACATATAACTACAAATTTAGGAAACTATTTTTCATCACTCTGTATAAGTCTATGACTAAAAAGATTAAGAGTCCATTTCAATAGTTCGAAAAAGTAGCAAAATAAGCGTTCGGTATTTAACCTTTTATGTAAAACTGGCTAGGTATTTTTACACAAATGACGAAGAAAATGAAAGATAAAGGATTATACCATATCCGTATTGTAGCACATTTTTAGATAACTACTTTATTTTTAAGATTTTGGTGGTCAAACATCAACAAAATATTCTTTATGTTTGGACTAAATTTTCTAGAAAATAAAGACATAATTTAAAATTCCGTTACAATACGGAAATAGATTGAAGTTTTGTGATAACAGTGATATATAATTTATATGGTTTTGTAACAAATTGCTCGCTATTTTATGGCAAATGCTGAAGCTCTGCAAACCTTAATCAAGCCTTAATCAAGCACGTGTGTTTGGAATTTTGGGCGTGGCTTAACACGACAGGATCGGGCTAAGCCTTAGGCAGAAATAAAATATATATTTCCTTCGGCCACACACCCGCTTTACCCGACCCCTCAGAGCGGTCCGAACAGTACAGCGTAAGGCTCCGCGCGCACTGCATCGGATCGGACCGACCAGCAAAAGCGACTGCGACCATCGTACATATAGACGGCGCCGGCGTCCACTAAAACATTTCGGCCTGTAGAGGCCAGATTCCTACCTCTACCTATCTACGATAGTCGAGTCACCGCCTTCGCCGTTTCTCGCCGGACTGGTACCGATTCAGTGCGCGTACACCTTAATACCGTGCTGGCAACTGTTACTTTTGGGTCGGCATTTACATATGTGTGGAAGTAAATCGCATAGGGATCTTATTAAGTCGGAGTGAGAGAAATGCGACAAACCGACGAGACGCGCGACGGTGTGCTGTTGCGGCGTTGCCGATACGCCTTTCCTTATCAAGTAAAGTAAAATCACGATCGCAAATCGCTTATTTTTAAAAGAATTTTTTTCAAGAGACAACTAGATAAAATCATTAGACATGTTTCTGAGCATCTGAAATGGAATTATAAGAATATCGTTAAGGTGTCATTTTTTTATAACGAAGAAACGTCAGTAATCGCGATAACTTAAGAACTCAACTTTTTAACACATAACAGGCCATAACTCAAGAACCACTTTAGATATTGAAACTTTTTTTTATTTTCAAGAACGGATATTTTACAATATGTTTACATAAGAAAAATTCGATAAGGTTGTTTTTTCCATTCAAAAATTGTAAACAATCCATCCATTTACATTTAGAGCATAGCAATTTTCAGTAATCGTGTAATTTTTTTATTGATAAAGATTTTCACATACTGTCTACAAAGAAAATACAGCAGAAATATAAACAAAGTTCTTGAAAAAACTACAATCTAATATTTTTAATAGATTTCGAGATATCGATTTTCGAGTTCTAATAGCGCGACCACTATCGAACACCCACTCAATTCCACTTCGACCAATCACGTTAGAGTTTTTGATAAACAGGAATGAATTAACACACTCCAAATAACCACGCTAACCAACCTGATTGGTCAAGCTTAATAGTTGAGTGCTAGGACTAGACACTTCTGGTCGACCGGTCAACTGCGACAAATCTGCTATATCCCCTTCCACGTCTCTTAGCGATGTGCACAGTTTCTCGGTTTATTTCATACGTTTGGCAACGTGTTCACTGTCCTCTCTTTTTTCAGTACATAATAAACGCATTGTACTCTTCTTACATACGGAAATCTCGGCCCAAGACTAACCTTTGCCAGCCCTTAGTATACTCAAAACTATTGCCAGATAAAATCAAAAAGCTTCAAATATTTTTTAAACCCTTTCATTTGTCGAAAAAATCAATGAAACTTATTCATACAAAACTTAATCAATACTTGGGGTATTTTCGTCACAAAACAGTGACGTACCGATTTAAACGGAATGCAGAAAAAACATTTCGTGAGGTATTCCAGCTGATTTAAAATAGAACGTATATCAGAATCAATCTGAAAAAAGGGAAAATATTGGGAAAGCTTGTAGCAAGTCACGCGATCTGCCCATTTCATCGAAGAAAACGAAGAAATGAATAATAATCAGTGAAATTCTTAAAAACCCCTTCACTTTATTGTAATATCGATGCGCCAGACAATTTTTTTTTCAATTTTATTTTAATTTATTTTAAACACAGGGTACAGGGTGGACGAAATTAGTCTGCTTTAACAGAGTAAACCTATTTCCTAACTATATAGAGCAAAACCGACATAGATGTCATTAGCTCGAGTTCTGAGACTTGCTTAATGGCATAAACTGCCAGTCAACAACATTGTGCACTGACCAGGAATCTCTAAATAATGAAATAAATAATCTATACTAATATATAAAATCCTTAAGTGACTCATTGATTAATCACGATCCTGCTCAAACCACTCAACGTAAGAAGCTCAATTTTGGCATACAGGTTGATTCTAGGGTGTAGAGGTAAGAAGGGATTTTTCGAAATTCCAGTTCCAAGGGGGTGAAACCACCCCTCAAATATTACAATATTTTTTATTTAAAAAACGGTCAAGTTTCCGAAAAAAACGCTTAAACACGTATATTTTATTTTGTTTTTTTACATATTTTAAGATTTTTTAAAAATGTATACAGAGTGTTTCATAAAATATGACCATTGATTAATCATGTTCCTGCTTAAAGCCCTTGACGTAAAAAGCTGATTTTTGGAAAACTGATTGACATTAGGGTGTAGAGGTTCGACAAGAAGGGATTTTTCGAAACTCGGATTCTAAGGGGGTGAAACCACCTCTCAACTATTAGAATATTTTTTATTTAAATTCGAAGCGAACAAAGTCGCGGGTACACGCTAGTATTAAAATAAATTGCCGTGTTATATCTATATGTGTATCTATTTGTTTATTTCAAAACGTAATTTTTAATCTTTTTATGCAACATTTTTTAACGTTCTTTCCCTCTTTTATATCCCATTTTTTTTGGCATTTTTCCATTTTGAATAATAGTACAGGATTTAGCTTCGGCATTTTAAACTAAACTGCAGCAAAATATGTATTTCTCGATATCCCACGGGACCAATTTATCCATGAATATAATTCCTAACTGTAGTTAAAAAAATTCGCGTCCATAATCAACAAAAATTTGCAATTTTTTCATCAGAGGGCATATTTCAAAGTTTTATTTAAATTTTTTAAAAATACCAGTTTAAATTTTGGTAGATAGACGTTCAAACTGGATTAATTCAGAGTTTTGGTTTAATGTTTTTTTTTATTACAGTTACATATATACTCAATAATGGCTGATGATCTTTGATTTCCTGGATAAGTATCCGGTTCCAAATAATAGAATAACTATTGAAATTTCAGAAAAATTCGCGTAAAAAAATAACCATTTTCATACAGTACGTCTGTTCGTTCTATAGCTACGGGGTATCCGTGAGAGGGGAAACGATATTCTCTCGATGTTTTTCTTAAAAAAATAGACGACGCGTCCCATCAATAAAAATTCAACAAAATAGCAAATAGCCAATAAAATAAGTGGGCGGAACGATTTGCGGTGACGTACTTGTTAAGTCGACGTATAAAATAAATTGCTGTTTATTTAAATATTTTTTGTCCGCATTCCTTTCATAGAAACAGATCCAGCAGACGTACTGTACATGACCAAATCGCTAAAATTTTAATGTAAATTTTCATAGCAAAATAAATATAGTTTTTGGACATTTTGGTTCGCACTTAGGTAATAAAAACAAGGTTTTGGAAAATAAAAAATTATTTTAAACTTAAATTTGCCGTTTTAAAAATTTTGCCATTGAAATTTACGGTAAAATTTTACCGATTTAGTCATGTATGAAAATGGTTATTATTTTTTTTACGCGAAATCGGTGCGTCGTACCAAAAAAAAGTCAAAAGATCAAATTTGTTCCAAATTTACTTCAGATTTTAAAAATAATTTTTATTTTAGAAAAAAAAAACAGTGGCGTACCATTTTTTTCTTCAATAATATTAAGTTTAAATACCGTAGGGACGCCACTGATGTAAATAAAGAAAAGTTAATAGCATCAAAAAATGTCATTTTATGGTAAAACAACGTGTACCAAATTTAGTGATTTTCGTCCAACAGGGCCCTGAGATATTAAAAAAAAACTCTTTTTAGGGGCAAAATACAGGGGGCTGTAAATCCGAAAAGGGGGGCCCCTCGCCAAAAAAAAAGGGTCACCTATTTTTTTTTCAAGAATCTATAACCAAATTTTGTTGCATTAATTTCCGGATACCCTGTAGAGTACCAATCACCACAACTGCCAAATCTATTAGTTTCAATCATTTTTTCATTTGAAAACTTTGTAATACTCCACAAAATATTAAATTAACTAAACCTTCTCTTCCCTCTAATAATTTTTCATCTATTAACAATAGCGATTTTTAGAAAATCCCAATCAAAACGAACAGTATAGGCTTTATTTTGGCCCTATCATCGCAGCCAGCCGCTTCCTGTCAACAGGGTCAATTTCAGCAGGCACTGGACCGTGAAGCCGACCAACGAATGGTCAGCAAGCGAAAATATCAATATTTGAACAGCGGACGCCACTGCGACCCCTGATTTCCTGATTATCGATGCCTCAGATCGTTAATAAAACAATAAAACAATAGAACCTTTACTCTTATGGCTTAGCTTCAATCTATTGAGGTGATGATTGAGGAGAACCCCGAGATAAACCGAAGATTGTTTTTAAATAAAGGAAAATCTTTGATTTTTCTCGGTCGTAAGTTTTGAGGAACTTTTTTGAGTGTCTTAGACCGTTGGAGGACACCCATTCCAGGTTACAGATAGTATCTTCCAGGTTCTTCAGTTCCGCTTTCAGTTGGTTCCCGCTTGTAAAACAGAATTGTTCTGGTCCAGTTAGTGGAGTGTTCGCTCCTTGGTGAACAGGCACCTTAGCCTTGGTGAAC